CCTTGAATATCTCCAGGGATGGGGCCTCAACCACCTCCCTGGGCAACCTGTTCCAGTGCTCCACCACCCTCACAGTGAAGAACCCTCTCCTCATCTCCAGTCTAAATCTGTTCCCCTCCAGCTTGAAGCCATTGCCCCTCGTCCTGTCACTGCAGGCCTTTCTAAACAGGTTCTCCCCAGCCTTCCTGTAGGCTCCCTTCAGGTACTGGAAGGCCGCTATTAGGTCTCCCCGGAGCCTCCTCTTCTCCAGGCTGAACAACCCCAGCTCCCTCAGCCTGTCCTCGGAGCAGAGGTGCTCCATCCCCCTGATCATCCTTGTGGCCCTCCTCTGGACCCTCTCCATCAGGTCCATGTCCTTCTTCTATTGAGGGCTCCAGATCTGCACACAATACTCCAGGTGAGGTCTCACCAGAGCAAAGCTCATGTTGAGCTTCTCGTCCATAAGCACTCCCAAGTCCTTCTCCTCAGGGCTGCTCTCCAGCCATTCTCCACCCAACCTGTATTTGTGCCTGGGGTTGCCACGTCTCCAGGTGCAGGACCCTGCACTTGGCTTGGTTGAACCTCATGCAATTTGCACGAGCCCACCTCTCCAGCCTGTCCAGGTCCCTCTGGGCTGGTCCCTCCAGCCCTTCCCTCCAGGCCACCAAGCTTGGTGTCATCAGCAAACTTGCTGAGGGTGTACTCTATCCCACCATCCATGTCTCCAACAAAGATGTTAAATTCCTCTCAAAGTGGAGCAGTTGGACAGACTCGACGACACTAGGAATTAAATAAGGCAGGGGGAGGAGGCGAGTGTGATTTTACAGCATGAGCTAGAGATGCTTTTTGAATACCTTTTATGGCTCTACGGTTCCTCAGAGAACTGGAGCATCTGTCAGCTAAATAAAAACCCATCCCCGAGCTGCTGTACGAGAATGGAGCCTTCGCTCACCTGCACCCACTTTGCATAGTTTGGCCAAATTTATCCAAGCAAGACTTTAGGGCTGAGCTGTGAGAATGAAATCATGCTGGGCTATTTAAAAGACATCGAATTTCTCAGCTTTGTTTCAGGGGGAAGCCAATAGTGCTGCTGGTGAACAACCAGGAGCAGGGACTAACTGCAATAACGTGCTCTATTTTCTCCCCCCCCCAGGAAGAGGCCACCCAGCAAGATGAAGAAATCACCCGTGGGCAGTTGGCGTTCCTTCTTCAACCTGGGCAAATCATCCTCCGTGTCCAAGCGCAAACTGCAGCGCAACCCCAGCGAGCCCTCGGAGATGAAAGCCATAGCCCTGGCAGGTGAGGAGGGTGCAAGTCCCTCTCCCAAAAACCCAGGGGTTCAGCAGAGCAGAGCTGGTTGGTGTTCACCGTGTGCTTCCATCTCCTTCTAGTGTTCAAGCCACGCATAGCACCTCCCTTGGATCTCAGGTTGGCTGGAGAGCCCAGCCTGGTGGAGCACACACCTCCAGTGAGGCTTCTCAGAGTAGATTTCCAAAGACAATATCTCAGAATAATTCCTTCTGATGCTCTTATTATGAAATAAGATACAATTCTGGCTCCCTTTGCTGGTCCAATTTGAACGAGGTAAAGGTGCTTTTCCACCAACACATTCACCCCAAAAGCTAGAGCAGTGTAACTAGAGGAAGCATCCAACAGCCTTTTGTAGCCTCATCCAGTGTACACAGACTCTGAATTTTCAGCCCTTTCCATAAATAGTTCTACTGTCTCTTTCCTAATTTAAAAATAACAGAAACAGCCTGAACCACGACAGCAGCAAAACCCAACACAAACCCCTAAACATGAGGACCTTTATCCCATCTTTTTCATTTTCAAATTATAACTCTCACAGTCTAATAAACACATTATACAAGTGTCCTTTAAGACTGTCTCCTTGGAGCACTGAAGTTGCACTTGTTTAGCGCTCATAAAACAAGCAAATTTTACTTTCTTGCCCATTTTTGAGGGGTTTTCAGGACCAAAGCAGTTGTCACAGGTACGGCCAGTGAGGACCTTTATCCCATCTTCTCCATTTTCAAATTATAACTCTCACAGTCTAATAAACACATTATACAAGTGTCCTTTAAGACTGTCTCCTTGGAGCACTGAAGTTGCACTTGTTTAGCGCTCATAAAACAAGCAAATTTTACTTTCTTGCCCATTTTTAAGGGGTTTTCAGGACCAAAGCAGTTGTCACAGGTACCTCCAGGCAGTCTGTAGCCGGGGGGGGTGTGGGGAGTTGTTTCCCAGCCTGGGCTCTGCAGCAGTTCCCGTTTGGGCAGGTTGCTGTTCCTCAATCTGTAAAATGGGTATCAAAAATGGATCCTCTCTCCTATAATTGCCTCTTGCCTCGTAGCACAGAACTGGTGATGGAAGGGACCTCTTCGGGCTGGTCTCCCCTGCGAACGGGGCTCATCTCCAAAACAAAAAAGCACCACTGTTACTCTCAGGACTAAAAACCAATATTTTTTTTTTCCTGCCACTGTTACATCGCCAAATATAAACCACTTTTCTAATTCTCACTGTCTGGGTTGCTTTCCTGCAGGTGGACGAGGAGACAGCGGGACCCTTCGCTCGGCTAAAAGCGAGGAATCTCTTACTTCTCTGCACGCGGTGGATGGTAAGACAAAAACTGCTCTTCTGGTGTGTGGGGATTCAAAAAAGGCAGGTTGGCGTTACCGACTGCAGACCCTCAACAGAGCTGATTTTCCACCCCCTCCAATAAAAGCTGGACTTGCTAATTAACGAAGCAGCTCACCGGCTGCCCAGCACGGACGGGTGTCACAGAGAAGTGCTCTTCAGGTCTTTGTTTTCCTTCTAAGGTAAAAAAAAAAAAGCTTATTTCTAGCCAGCATGTTGGTTCCTCGCTCTGCCTCCTCCCTCAGAATCACAGAATCTTAGTGGTTGGAAGGGACCTCTGAGATCATCGAGTCCAACCATCTCCCCTACTCTACAAAGTCCTCCCCTACACCGTGTCCCTCAGTACCCCATCTAAACGGCCCTTAAACACAGCCAGGGATGGGGACTCCACCCCCTCCCTGGGCAGCCTGTTTCAATTCCAAAATTCTTTCCTAATGTTCAATCTAAACCTACCCTGTTGGAGCTTGAAGCCGTTCCCTCTCGTTCTGTCACTAATTACCTGTGAGAAGAGACCAGCCCCAACCTCTCTACAGTGTCCTTTCACGAAGTTGTAGAGAGTGATGAGGTCTCCCCTCAGCCTCCTCTTCCTCATACTAAACAGTCCCAAAACAGTCCCTCCCAACAGTGTTGGGAAGGAAAATGCTTTCTGAGAAAGCCTTAGGTCTAGAGCACACTTAAGCTAGTTCTACTTTTGGTTGGTTTCAGACTCGATCGGACCTGACAATTGCTGTAATTGAGCAAATATAATTAACAGATACTGCCCCACCTGCCTTAAAAACAATTCACAGAATCACAGAATCTTAGTGGTTGGAAGGGACCTCTGAGATCATCGAGTCCAACCACAAAAAAAAAAAAAAAA